AGCAGTCACCGGCCACATCGACCTGATCAGTGTTTGATTGTTGTGTCTTGTTGCTTTTCTTCTTTTGTCTCTCCTCTATCCACTCACCCCAACCGGTCGAGGCAGAAGGCCGCCCACCAAGAGCCGGGGTCTGTCGGAGGTTTCTTCCGTTAAAGGGAGTTTTTCCTCCCCACTGTCACCAAGAGCTCAAGGGGGATTTGTTGGGTTTTCCCTATGTAATAATATTGATAACAGTAAGGTCTAGACCTTACTTTGTAAAGTGTCCTGAGATGACTTTTGTCATTTGGCGCTATACAAATAAAATTTGATTTGATTTGATTTGAAATATGCCTTAGTGTGACAAGTGATAAAAAGCATCTACAGTTTCTGATTCAGTTTAACAGCAGCTGTTTAAAATGATTTGTGAAGGACAATGTCGCTGCCAAACCATGTATAGTTACTAGTTTTATGTGTTAGACTGAGAGCAGGTGACATATGGAGCCACTATCAGTTTCCTTGATAAGAACGGTACTATCTGACCCATCAAATGTTAAATGGACTTTTAAGTCCAACCTACAGTATACGCTCAGTTTTATAGTGTTTGCTTCAAGAAATCTATTCAGTATGGAAGTAGATCCCTGTCTCTAACCACATTTCAAGCACTACTGTTTGCAACTCAGCATTTGAGCGCATATAAATACAGATTTGTAAGTGCAATTACAGATTTGAGAGCATAATCCAGGCCATGTGTGCTCTACTTTTCTGCAGCCTCTGATTTCTCCACTGGGGTTTGTGTGAAAGTCTGTTTGTGCCAAAGGTTTTGAAAGTGCACAAAAGTTGCAACTGCTATTCGGTCTGCAAATCAGACTTTGAGAGTGCAGGAATAGATTTGTAAGAGCAGACTCAGATTTAAGAGCGAGAGAGGATACTAGCTGTTCCCTCGAATCTTGTACACTCACGATTCTGTCCTTCCTCGCTCTCAAATCTTTCTGCTCTTACAAATCTGTGCCTGCGGCCTCACAAAGTCTGATTTGCAAACTAAGGAGCGCTCACGACTTCTTTTGTGCGCTTTCAAAACTTTTAGCACAGACAGAATTTTACACAAAGCCCAGTGGAGGAATCTGAGAGCGCAGAATCAGAAATGAAAGCATGCATGGCCTGGATTACGCTCTCGATCTGTGTTTGCACTTTCAAATCCGAGTCTGTGTGCTGTCAAATGCTGAGTAGCACTCAAAATGTAATTGGAGCATCCTCAAACATTATGGTGGGAATCTACTTCCATAATTCAGTAACAGGATTAGCAATGACAAGTTGGTTTTGGTACAACCCTCAAGTAGCAAGGCCAAAGATTCTGTGCTAACAGCTTAACAAGTCACAGCCTGTTGGCAAAAAAAATAAAACTTTGTTTTGAGCATCTTTGTGTTACTGGTTTAATAGGAAACAAAGATGATTTGGGTGATTCTGAGGAGCTCCATGGGGCCTTGTCATGTGTATTTCATGTGATAATGGACCTTGGCACAGACTGGCTCCCCTGAGGGTAACCTCTTCTAAAGATGAATGCTCCAAAGGATCAGACAAAAGTACACGGACAAATGCCACTACAAAAGTCCACTAGAACAATAATAATAATAATGACAATAATACCCCTTTACCATATACGTGATGTTTTCTTTCTCACATTAAGGGAGTAAAAACATAATTTGGCAAAAAACACCTGTTAGACAGTCCACACTGTGTTATTAATTATAAAAGGGTGCAGATAATTAGCTGTGATATTAATCCCTTTGCTCCCATGGAGACAGCCATTACTATGATTACTGCATGCTCTCTGTATCT